TGTAAAGATGATAGCCACTTTTGGCTAAGAGTCGGCTCCCAACAGGTGTAAGTGAGGATTTCCTCGTCTCTGGAGGCAAGCAGACCTTGGGGGCCAGAATTCAGCATTACAATACATAGTAACAGACCAAGCCTCAACAGGGACCACCACATGTCATCCTCTGTAAGGAGTCTCAGTGTGAGTGGCCTCGGCGTGGTTCTGCAGGGAGAGGAGGGCTACAGCGGATGTGGTGACATGCCATCATTATCTGCATGTGAAGCAAATGTGAGAAGTGAGAATCTCTTCCTTTCCATGCTACCTACCACATTTACCACAGTGACCCAACAAATGACATGTAAGTGTAGATCAATAATATTCAATGTGGCATTCTACTAAATGCTAGCTAAATACTCGTCTTCGTGGGGAAACCTCTCCCTAGCCTCACAGCAAAGTCACGATCTTTTTACCCCATTAGTCTAAGACGCTGTTGTTTAATGTGATGAGGATTCGGACCTGTTACAACCTGAAGGCAACCAGGCCCTGCTACCTGATGGGGGCATCAGAGAGATGCTCACGGTCAGCAAGTGTGGCGGGTGGGACAGCTGTTGGGGTGCAAATGGGGTTTCTTTGAAGAATCACTTTGGGCATCCAGGACTGAGCAGACTTGTGAATTTATTATAGTGGCTTTCACAAATGCAAGAAAGGTACTTGGACGGGGCAACTCAGCACCAGGACGAGCAGCACCAGGGCCAGCAGCTCCATGTAGGTCAGACTGGTACTGTCCATTTGTCACTAGACATGTTAAGGAGGAGCTGCTGACGAGAGGGGCCAGTGGATGTGGGGAAGGCAGGGCCTTCAGGGGACTTGCTGATTCAGCCTTAGCGTGGTGGATACAGCCCAGACCTGGTTTTATGAGGTCTCCAAAAGTGACTGGCACCTATCCCCCGCAGTTCAACTTTCCCTAAAGTGATACCTGCTTTGCTGCATGCCATGAGGGTACCCTGTCAAAAATACTCCAAAGCTGAGGCTAACCAGTCTCACTGGGCAGATAGAGACTTCAAAATGGTAGCTGTCTTAGTTAGGGTTACTATTGCTGTGATGAAACACCATGACCAAAGCAACTTGGGGAGGAAAGGGTTTATTCAGCTCATGTTTCCACAGCACTGTTCATCACTGACAGAAGTTGGGACAGGAACTCAAACAGGATAGGAATCTGGAGACAGAAGCTGGTGCAGAGACCATGGAAGAGTGCTGCATACTGGCTTGCTCTCTATGGCTTGCTCAGTCTGCTTTTTATGGAAACCCAAGACCATTGTCCAGGGGTTTTTCCACCCACAATGTCCTGGGCCCTCCCCCTATCTGTCATTAATTAAGAAAATGCCCTAACATCTTGCCTATAGCCCAATCTTATGAAGGCATTTTCTCAATTGAGGCTCTGTCCTCTGATGACTCTAGCTTGTGTCAAGGTGATGCAAAACTAGCCAATGCAGTGGCCCAGACAGGTAGTCAGTGAAAGATATTAATGCACCATGGTGCTTTCTGTTCCTTCCTCATGAAGTCCAAAACTGATGGTCAGATCTCCTGGCAACTAGCCCGTTCTCCTAGATTAGTTCTGGACATACCAGTTTGCCTGCCTTCCCAAACCCATGCAGAAGGAAACAGCCAGGAATGAAGCCTCGGCTACCTTCTGCCCTCTCTACCAGTGCCCTCCAAGTGTACTGGCTTCCCAGCCTCTGTGTGCAGCTCTTTCTATCACGTTGGTTTTCTTCCAAGAACATCTCAGTCTCCCTGCTCCCTGCAGTCTTGAGGCCGTCCTCACCCTTGTCCTGATTTTTCTTCCTGAGGAGCTGTGTGCATCAGATCATGTCAAGCAGGCCCTGGGGAGACACTTCAGACATGAGCTGAAGAGTCGCAGGGGAGTAGCAAACAACAGAGCTGCAGTCAGTCTGCATGAGCTAGCACTGTGGATTCCTGTCCACACACCCCAGCACTCAAACCCTTTCTCAAACCCATGTCCCACCCCCAGGGTTGCTGGTGTGCAGTGTGTCACCGTGCCTGGCTACTCCAAGGGCTTTGGCTACCAGACCGGCCAAAGCTTCTCTGGAGAGTTCGACCATGCCTGGAATGCTGTGTACCTTGAGGGTCGTTGGCACCTGGTGGACAGCACCTGGGGCAGTGGCCTGGTGGACACCACCACCTCCAAATTCACCTTCCTGTGAGTACCAGGCTCAGTTTTGCCAGTGTCTTGTCTGTGTGTAGGGTGGGGACAAGGTTGAAGAAGGGAAGTTTCTGGGGGAAGGGAAGGACCAAGTGGGAGAGAAAGGCTGGACAGTCTTGCTTAGCCACACTCACCTACTCTAAAGCTGGTTCCAGGTCACTTGCAAGGAGCTGAATTTTCTTGTCACCCTCACCCTTCTGTGACTCTGACTCTCCATGAGTCCTTGCAGCTAAACCCAGGAGCCCCTCTAGTTTGCTCCAGGCTACACATGAGGAGGGGGGTGAGGCTAAGGAGCCTCAATGCCAGCAGCTACGGTGCCTCGATGCTCCATCTTCTCCTCCATTTCCTGAAGGAGGAAGAAGGATGCAGTTGGCAGAGAGGAGAGCTGTAGGTGGGGCTTAGCCACCTGAGCCCTCATAGCACAGTCTGGACCACGTTCATCCTCTAGGGCTTGGCCAACCCTGAACTTAGCCTTCAGCCAAGCATGGCATTATTATGGGTTGTGATGTCCCTTGGCAGCCTTGGTCCCCCTTTATTTGGGAAACTGACTGTTCCCTCCAATGTGTGCAAGTGAAACCTTGGTCTTCCACGCTAAGCTACATACAGCTGTTCCTCTCAACAGTGTCCCCCTTAGATGGGACAAAGCCTCCCAAGCCCAGGCTGTCTCCTTTCTTCTCTTTGTCTCTGTCTCTGGCCAGCCCTAAGGAGCTACAGAAATTCCCTGATTGCATCCCTCCCTCCCCTAGGCACAGGGACAAGAAGGGTCCAGTGCAACTAGAACACTGGCCCCTCCCCTCCCTACCTCCCTGTGCTCTCTCTGTCCACACCTGCACCACAGATCACGCTTTTGGTCCTTTCAAACTACTTTTGGGAGTTAAACACAAAGAGAGCCGTCCTTTCTACCTCACCCTATCCATAACATCCTAAGGCTCTCGGAGCAGGCCCTGAGTTCATGCTGTGGCTTTGTCTCAGAAGGGATCTCAGATCCTGTGTGGCCCCAGGGTCTGTACACAGCCACTGAAGAGTCTCCAGTACCCACGTTAGGGCCACAGACCATCCTGCAGACAAGCTTCTGTTGTCAGCAATACCCAATTCAGTTGTTGGGTCAGCTAGACAAAGGTTTCCCAAAGCTCCCCCCCGACCCCCCGGGAGACACGCAGGTGTGGGTGGCAGTGGTCAGGCCTACTCTTACACATGGCTCCTAACCAGGTCTTCCTCTATTCCAGCTATAATGAATTCTACTTCCTCACCCACCCCGCCCTGTTCATTGAGGACCACTTCCCAGACAACAAAAACTGGCAACTGCTGAAGCCACCCCAGTCTCTAAGGCAGTTTGAGAACAACATGTACCACAAGAGTGAATTCTACAACAAAGGCATGTTAAGTGCCCACCCGGAGACATCCATGATCAGAACAGGTAAGGAGAGGCAGGTACACAAAGTGGGGTACCAGTAATGGCTGAAGCTCCCTTTGCCCAAGAGTGAGCCAAGAAAAGCTTAGACCAACAAGCTTAACTGTCTCCCATGGCCTGTGTTGACACTTGCTGTCCCTTGACACACCGTGGAAACCATGGCAGCCAGGTGTTTGTACACTCTTGAGGGGCAAGGCCTGATCCCAGAATCACAGTCATGGACCTCAAAGGATTCTCCCTAAAGGATAGTTTCTCATGCCTCTCTGGGGATCCAGAGCCTGTTCCTACTCTTAGCACACCACAGCAGGGGGCAGGAAGGCTGACCAGCCCACCTCTCCCTTCTCATCAAAGCCCAAACTGTCAGCACCAGCTCTGCCACCAGGAAGCCTCCATATATCCCAGACAGAAGGCCTGAGCTCCCAGAAGCAATCAGCTAGGGTGGCCTGAGGGATTATGGCTTTGATCCCACCCCACACCTCAGGCTGACGGAGTAAGGGAATAGGGAAGGGGGTGCACCAGGGCACAGTCGCAGTCAAGGAGCAGATGCTTCTTGCCCGTTGCACTCCCCCATGGATTCTTGATCTGGATGCAGAGCTTCCATGGTCTCTGGTAAGTAACAGACATGTGGCCACTTCAGCTGCTCCCTTCAAAGCTCACCTGAGTCTGACAGAAGTCTGTGGTCTCCATCGTGAGCCATTAAACCGCAAGAAAGACTGGAGCAGACCACAACGCCCTTGTGATCGTATTGCTGAGTTGAGTTTGCCTTTTTTTTGGGAGATGTAAAAATGTAAACACCAGATTTCTTAATTTATACTAACCTAAAACTCCATTCCATATTCATGCTACATATTGTAAGAATATTTCCTGGTGCCTGTGAGTTGTCTTAAGAATAGAGATGGGAAGGAAGCAGAAGAGGGGTTGAGGGTAGGGCAAAGAGAAAGGGGAGTCAGTGGATGCAGGAAGGAGAGAAGAGGCAGAGAGGATACAGAGGTGCCAGCCAGGGTCCTTCAGTGGCCTTTGGGGTCCCCAATAATTTTCCTCTTCTGAGATGCTCAGCACACTTCTGCCAAATGTTCCCTAAGACTAAGCTCTTCCCCAAGATCCCATGCAAAGGCATTAAGCATTCACCAGCACCAGTGGGTCCGTCTCACCTAACCACGGCTTCCTCTCCGCAGTGAATGGGAAAGCCACAGTGACCATTGAGAGCCGTGCCCCAACACTGTTCATGTTCATGCTCAATGGCAAACAGGAGCACGGGCTCCTGAGCCTCAGAAAGAACGGGATGAAGCTGGAGGTGTACCCTCCAACCATGGGCACCCACAAGCTGCAGATCTTCGCCAAAGGCAACTCAGAAATCTACAGCTCGGTGTTAGAATACACACTCAAGTGCAACTATGTAGACTTCTCTGTCCAGCTGCCCACTGAGCTCCACCAGCCCGTGGGCCCCAGCTGGTTCTCGGAGCAGATGGGCATCACGAAGCCCTCACACCCTGACCCCATCATTCACACCAGCGACGGTCGCTGCTCCGTCAGCTTTGGTGTGGAAGAGGGCATCAATGTCCTGGCATCCCTCCACGGCGATGACGGCCCCATCACTGAGGAAACACAGCGGCGCTACATCTTCCAGTTGAACCGAGAGAAGAGGACCGAGTTGAAAGTCCAGCTGCCCCATGCTGGCAAGTTTGCCCTTAAGATCTTTGTGAAGAAGAGGCAAGAACAAGGTAATTTCATCTTTGTCTTCAACTACCTCCTGTGCTGCGCCAACACCAAGGTGAACTGGCCTATGTTCCCCGAGAGCTTCGGCAACTGGGGGCAGGACAATGAACTGCTGGAGCCTCTCTCGGGTGTGCTTCCCGCCAACCGCAACATAGCCTTCAAACTAAAGCTGCATGGTATCGCCAAAGCCCTGGTGAAAGGGCAGGACACGTGGCCCCTCACCCTTAACCCCGAGGGCTACTGGGAAGGCAGCTGCAACACAGCTGGCTGCCAAGAAGTCTATGTCATGGTGCTAGAGAATGCTAACCACAACTTCTACAGCTACATCCTGAAATACAAAGTGAATGACCAGTGAGGGGCTGCATTCTCCACAGTCCCCAGGGCTATGGCCAGCCCTGCCCAGGGAGGGCCCAAGCTAAGTGCAGAGAGCCCGGGACACCATTAATCTGCATGAAATCACCTCTAGGCCTCTGCCTCGGCCCCCTCTGCCCCAGTTCCCCTGCTTTTGCCACAGGCACTGAGGAATTCATGCTGCCGAAGTCTCCCTCAGTGTGCCTGTGGATGAAGGGGCAGAGGCAAGGGCCCTCTAGAAGAAAAAGGTGCTATGTAAATCCAAGGTATTGTGAAGTGTTTGCCCCTGCCTGTGCCTGCTCTTGTGTTAGTACTTTGTCGTTGTAGAGCTGGGTGGGTAAGCAGAGGTGTTGCCGGTGTCAAAAGCTTTCCACATGATGCCTAGAGAATTCTCCTTCCTGCCCCAGTGTTGTCTGCGGCTGAATCTATTCAGAGAGGTGCATTTCCTCTCCCCAAGTAACATGGTGTTTCCCCACTACTTCTGGACCCCAGGGAATGATGGGCCTGCCCGTCTCCCACATTCCTAGTGCCCTTTTTAGTTACGTCATGCTCTTCAAGAGCTTACAAAGGGAGATGGGTGTAGAGAACAAGCTGGCTAACCCTCAGCCAACTGGAGGCTGTTATCCCCCAATCCCTAGCATCTCTTGAGATGTGATAAAGGGCAGAAAAGCAGCCGTGTAAACACATGGATGTCCTGGCTGGGGACCAGGGATGGAGTGTTTCTGGAAGTCCAGCAACCCACATGTAAGGATGAAGACCCCTGATTCTGTGTGCCTACCAGAGTTTAGCTGAGGGCCTGGAGATGCCCTTTCAGCCATCATCAAGAGCCTCGAATGCCTACATAGCCTGTTGGGAGCCTGGCTGATGACCATGAATGAAGACCTGGGCCCTGGGCAAGCAGACGAGTCCCAACAGTACTAGGGATAGAATATGATAACAAGATGCTGCTCCTTACATGGTCTCTTACAAGCCAAACCAAGCTGAGGGGACCATCACCTGCCCCTAAAGAAAGTGTTTGTGCCTGTCTCTGAGAAAAGCCCTATCATAGCCGTTTTCCCTCCTGTCTTTCTCTGAGATGACAACCCTTGCCCTAAGTTCAGCCTTCCCCTGGGAACAGTTGTGGGCCTCTTACTTGCTCAGGCCTGTCCTAAAAAGCTTGAGCTGCCTAGCTGGCCCTTAGCAGCACCTGAGGCTGGTGTTTCCATGGCAACAGCCGAGAGGAAAGCAGGCTGCTGCAAGCAGGGAAGGCCTGAGGAGAGTCCCCAAGAGGCTCCTGCAGTAGCATCCCAGTGCATGGATGTGCTCCAGGATGATCCCCACCAAACTTCTGGGTTCTAGGACTCTGCTCACTGTGCCGCCTCTCAGGACCCCCACCCCTTACTTCTCTCTGAGGAATATCCTTGGGCTCAGCTATAGCCAGAGCCAGCCTGGGGTACTCACAGCCTCTGCATTCAACCCTGTCCTCAGTAAGAGCTATCAGACTCATTCGATAAGAGGCTGACCCCATGCTGAATGCTGGGACTGTAGGGGAATACAAAGGACTCCACCATAGGCACCGACACCTCTGGGTGGGCAGTCTGTCAAGAGGAGCCTATTTGAAGACCTAGGATCCCAGAACTTCAGTTCTTCATTCCCTCTGCCCTTTTCCCACAGGTCCCCACTGCTATCCACCTGATAGCAGCTAGCCCCCTCCACCAGGCTGGGGAGCCTCACTTGTTGTTGGCACGGCTGCTAGGGACTGAGCTGCCTTGGCTTGTGTCCAGGGTCCTCTGGCAGTCCTGGCCCATCAGCATCTTGTCACTCACTCCTGGAAAATGCACAAAAGCCGAGTGAGGTGGGGGTGGGGTGTCTCCACTACAAGAAAACAGTGGAGTTTGCACTGCCTGGGAACAGCCTCTCCTCACCCCTTTTATTTTATGAGCAGAAAGGAAATGTGCTATGTTTTAACAAAATAGTGCTTCTGCGATCCCTGCCACTCGCTAGACACAGCCGCGACAGCCACTGCTAGCCCTGCAGAAAAGAAAAAAGAAAAAAAAAAGATCCCCATGTTTTTCAAAACAGCATATTTAATCCATTCTGGAGCTTGTAGAGGATGCTACCCCACAAAACAGGAGCTGTCCTCAGCACCAGAGGCCCACCCCGGGCCTCTCCCAGTGGCCCGGGTCAACCACACGCCCCGCCCTCCTCGTTTAACCAGGCAACCCCTTTGTCAAGGCAGCTGTAGGTGCACTCGGAAAAACGCCTGCATTTCTTTTTACTGAAGCAAAGATACATGAAACAGAATCCAATCTTCATGAATTTTTACACGCATGCTGCTCAGGCTGGAAATTTGGAGGTTGCGTTTTGAAGGCTTTTTATTCAAATCCCCCTCTTTGTCTGCTGGTCCACGCGTCTCATTGGCCAATCAAAGGGCACGAGCGCCCCCTGGTGGTCTATTGCGAAGTTGCCGCCTCCCCAAACCCACAAGCTGGATCTTTCTATGATGTTTGTTAAAAATCACTAGGTGCTTTCTCGTCCCTCGTGGACGAGTTATGCTGCCTACGGCACCCACATCATGGAGAGTCATCGTCATAGTAGATATGCCAAGGTCAGCGTTGCCATGCAGACTGTGAGAAGAGCCTGGAGAGACTTCCTGGCCTGACGTGGTGAGAAGACAGGATGGGATTAAGAATTGAACGTCTTGCCCAGAAAGCCTTTCCTGAGACAGAAAGCCTGGGCACAGGAATGCCTGGCTGGGGTCGTTGTGATCACACTCATTACTATGGCAATGACAGGCTGAAACTGATCAAACTCAGCATTTTGCCAGGCAGGCCCCAGGATGGGTGCCAGGGTGCAGAACGATGGGGCGTGGTGGGGCAAAAGGGTGCAATTAAGTTCCTTTCAGCTTGCTTCAAAAGTGCCACCAGCTCAGCTGGACTGTTCTCTGTCTGATTGTGAATATTTTGAGTTCTCCATATGTTACATTGTCCCACCAGGATGGACTCCTCCCGGCCCACCGAGATTAAAGAGACATAAATAGATTAACTGAAGCATGAAGGATTTGAGCTAGATATAAAAAACCATTTCCTGTTGTGAAGCAGGAGGGACACGTTGCCAATAAACTCTGCGAAATTCTCAAAGGACTTGAAAAGGAGAAAAGTTACCCCCAGCGGTCCAGCATTTTGTCTGCCGTGCTTACTGAAGTGGTTGGGTTCTCCCTCCGCTAATTCTTAAACAACACTTGGTTGGCTGTCAGTAAACACCAGGTTAATGGTGTGACCACACAGCTCACTATTGTCGGATTTCAAAGACAGTTTACCTGAGGTCTGCTGTTTCCTTTCATTTGGAGTAAGTAAAGCTGCAGAGGTGACTATTTCTCCTAACCTGTGTGCTGAATTGTGTAGGCCACCAGCTGTTGAGGATGCTGTCCTCACACTGTTGCTGGGGTTCTTTTTCAATAAAATTTATATTCATTTTTATCCAACAATGTAATTATCGATCCATCCTTATCGTAGCTCTTACAAGGAGAAAAAAAAAACAAGGGGGGAGGGCAACACTTTCATGTTCAAAGGATGCTTTTAAAAAAGAAATCGATGTCCCTGGCATTTGAACGTGATGGTGAGATGCAAATCAGATGTTGGGCAAATAGCTATTCCACATTAAAGAAAACATAATTAGGTCAGCTCCAGCCCTCCACAGCTCACGTGCCTTTGAAGAATCTGAAGACCGTGCTTCTTTCATTGAATCTTGTTTAACTCGAGCATTTTAAAGTCAGCCCAAATTTCTTTTTAGAGTGGGAGAAGAAAAACGTGCCAAAAAATTTTCCTGTCAACCTACTTTTGGGGTTCTGAATATATAATATACGTTTCTTGATATTCAAATACACACACACACACTCACACACACGAGAAACTTTCCAGGTTGCCTAAACTGATTACTCATAAATTAGACATTTAGGGGACTAGAGGGAAAAAAATGAAAATCTAGACACCTCTGAGAAGCTGCTGTAACCATGGAGACCATTCTCATAGCTGTAGTGTGAAGGGCAAAAAGATTTGTGTTCCCAAATCTGGGCTTATCACGTCCCTCATTGCTAGACACAAAAAAATGAGATGTGCTACACTTCCTCCTTGGGGTGGGGGTTCACAGAGGACTTTGATCCATGGGTGAGGGAAGTTTCTAATGACCCACTATGGAGAAGTAGGAACAAACTGTCTCCAAGTCTTTTGTACAGTAGAAGGATGAATTCTTAAATTATTGGAACAGGCTGCAAGTTCCCACCCAAGGGCTGGAAGAGACTGACCTCCAATGTTCCTTCCAGTCCAGAGACTTTGTGAAGCTGTGTCTTTGTGAACAGATGATGGCAGGCACCAGCCTGGGCTTGTCAGTTAGGCAACATCTGAAGGGCCCTGCTGTGTTAAGAGTCTGCTCCCTGAGCCCCAGGCGTGCTACACTGCACGCCTCTTACTTCCTGCGGGCAAGGGGATGCATGGAGCCCAGCAGGTGGACTACAGGGAAACAGCAGCCCACACAGAGGTTAGTCATCTGTGATTTGCAAACAAAACTGAAGAAGACTAAGAGCCTCCTGGACAGTCCTTTCTTGGACATGGATGTCTCCATGGAGTCTCTTTTCTTCCGCCTCGTCCTCAGACTTCAAGTCAAAAAAACTATTCCTAAACCAGTCAGATTCCCAGGGAAGATGCACGGGGTGTCCTGTGACCTCTGGTATCCTCTGAGGTGAGATCTGGTCCATATGGAGGCTTCTCGGGTCTTGTCTCAGGCGCTTCTCCATCCACTGTGAGTGTTCAGGCCCCCACACTCCCTCAGCGCCACTGCTTGGGCCTCTGTGTGCCAAGGTGAGTCCTGCCTATGCCATTGCTGTCCACACCAACCTCTAATCTGAACATCGACCCCACTGAGCTGTGTTCAGACAAAATGCTTTTCATGATCCTTCCCAAGGAAGTTCTCTGGAGAAGGCATTGGTGGGCAAGGTTAAGTCTTCAAACAAAAAATGATCTTAGGTCTACAATCCTACCTCCTTGAACACACCTGATCCAGCTTGATCTCCGAAACTAAGCAGGGCCAGGCCTGGTTAATACTTGCATGGAACACAAAGGCTTATTTTAGTAGAGAATCAAGAGAGTGCCCAGTCACTCCCTTCTCCTCTAGAGACAGCATGCCAAGTGTTTCACTCCCAGGACAGTATAAAGATGGCTCTTCAAAGAGGGGCACAGATGAGGGCCCATAGAGAGAAGTCTCCCCTGCAATTGAGTAAGCTGTAAGCAGCAGCTTTAGACCAAAGGCTGCCTCCCTGTGGTCCTCCTGCACCAGCAATGGCATGCACTGATCCGTAGAAGCACCAGTCCGAGCCAGCACTGACCTTAGGGATTGCAATGTCCTGGGGGCCATGCCTGTGCAACATAAAAGGCCAGCGATGGGACTCAGGTATTCAGCACCTCAGACTGAGATGGGACACAACAGGAAACTCCAGAGCAAAGGTCCCCCTAGAGTGCCCCCCCGAATGGTAGGGGCTATGACAACAGTCCTCAGGAGACATCACAATCCACAAACCCTCATGCTACCCTGTTTTCGAACATGCTGGTCCCTGTTGTACCAACCGTCTTCCCTCCCTCTCTCCTGGAAAAGCTTTGCCTGGTCCTCATCCATCTTCCGGGTTCACATAACATGTGTGACTTCGCATGATCTGGTGATGAGAAGGGATTGGAGGTTCTTCACTGGGCTGGAAGGTTTTTTTTTCCATACAATTTTATTGAAAAAATATTTTTCATACAATATATTCCAATTACAGATTCCCTTCTCCCAGATCCTTCCAACCTCTCCATCCATCCACTGCCGTGCCCTTTCTTTCTCTCATTTTAGAAAGCAAGCCCATGGATGGTGTTGTACACCTTCAATCCTAGCACTCGGGAGGCAGAAGCAGGTAGATCTGAGTTCCAGAATCTCTATGAAATTGAGGCCAGTCTGGTGTACAGAATGAGTTCCAGGATAGCCAGGGATACTTAGAGAAATCCTGTCTCAAAAAAAAAAAAAGGAAAAAGAAAGAAAGAAAGAAAGAAAGAAAGAAAGAAAGAAAGAAAGAAAGAAAGAAAGGAAGGAAGGAAGGAAGAAAATAAAGCAAACAAAAAGCCATAAAAATTAAAAAAAGAAAAAAAGAAACACATACACACAAACCAATAAAAATACAAAATTGTGGAGCTGGAGAGATGGCTCAGCAGTTAAGAGCACTGGCTGCTCTTCCAGAGGACCTGAGTTCAATTCCCAACAAACACATGGTGGCTCACAACCATCTGTAATGCCCTCTTCTGGTGTGCATGAAGACAAAGCATGCATATATATTTAAAAACACACACACAAAATTGGAAACCATGATACATACACAAGCAGACTAAGTAAGACTGAAAAAAAATTACCCAAAGCAAGATGAGATAAAGAGTCTACAAAAATACCATTGAGTTGGTTTTATGTTGGCCACCTGCTGCTGGGCCTGGGGCCTACATGTGTGGCTAACACATCCAGTGACAGTCCACTGGAGAAAATTAAGTTTTCCTTTGCAAGTGAGTGTCACCTGGGCGGAGCTTCTTGGTTCAGGATGGGGGCTCCAGTCCACTCTTCTCAGAACTGAGAACTCTTGGAACACACACTTTGGTTCTGCTTCTTGGCACACATGGGGTGCTTGATAAATGCACTGTAAGTGTTTCCTTGGGAAAAACTGAGAAGGGATGTGAACGGAGCTGCCAGCAGCCATTCCCAGAACATTTGTAGAGCGTCTCACTTTCCCAGGACTGGCCCTTGTGGTTTCATTCAGCTCTGCACAGCCTGGATGGTGAGAGAGACACCAAGATTCTCAGGGGAGGATCCCAATCCAGGGAAGAAGGAACAGCTGCCCTGGGGGGGGAGGCTGAGGGCTGGTTGCTAGTGACCTTCACAGATTAAAAAAAAAAGTGACCCCTTTACCAAGACCAACTACCTCAACTTATTCTTGAGGCTCTCTCTGTAAGGGGCTATTTGCTTAGTCTGTGGACTGTGACTGAATGCAAGATTTCTACGTGAAGGTGGACTCAGGGCCTCCTCATCTGTGAAAGACTCGTGGAGCTGCTGTTCCCGTATCTAATTGAGGCTCGGTCTGTTTAAAGGAGGTCTGGAACATGAGCTTGATGCTCCTGTTTGACCCAAAGTAACACAAACACGCTGAAGCTCTCACTAATTGTATCCTCACCTGCCTGAGCTCAACCAACAAAGCTAGCTGCAGGAGACTCTCTGAGGCCCCAGGAGAACCTATTATCTTATGGGAAAGCTGCAAAATGGCAAGTTTTGCTAATTGGGACTAAAAGGCACAATATTTTCTACTGGCAAATCAGGAGTGTTCTGGGAAGTCGCAGAAGAACTCTCCCTCTCCCTGTCCCTACCCCAATCCCTATCTTCTCTCTGCACATGTATGGGGTATACATCTCTGTATGCATGTTCACATGTATGGCAACACATGTGTGTGCATGCATCTGGAGGCCCCGAAGTGGACATCAAATGTCTTCCTTAACCACTCTTCACTGTAGTGAAGCAGGGCCTCTCAATTGAATCCAGAGCTCATTGGTCAGCTATTGTAGAAAGCCAGTTTACCCTGCCTGCCTGGTCCCAGTCCCCTCACTTCTGAGGTTACAGGCACCTACTCAGCTTTTACAAGCGTCCTGAGCATTAAACTCTGAACTTCAAGCTTGAACTTTATCCACTGGGCCATAGCCCCAGCCCTGCTTATGGATATTTTAAACAAGGTTGCTCTTTGTATTGAATGGAAAATAAACAGAAAGCCTGGTTGATTTAGTGACTAAAAGCAGCAGTGAGGGCCTGAGTATAAAAAGGATACCTGGGCAGGTCCATGGAGACATGCCTGCCTCTCTGGGGCTGAGGAAATGACTCAGTAAAGTGCTTGCTGTGCAAGCATAATGAGCAGAATTTGGTCCCTAACATCCATGGGAAAGGCCAGGTGAAAGGGCATGGGGTTTGTAACCCCAGCACTAAGGATGGGCAGATCCCTGAAGCTTCTCAGCCAGCAAGCCTAGCCCAGCTGGCAAGCCTCAAGTCCCAGAGAAAGACTTTGTCTTAACAAAAAGGTAGATGACATCTGAGGTTGAGTTCCTGGTACACACATGTACACACACTCACATAGGTAGTACACACATGCAAACACACACACCATTTCTTCTCTCAAGCCAACTGTATAGACATTTAAACATCGCCGATTGAAGCCCTAGGTTTATGAGGAGTCTGCGCTTCCCTCTGAGCTCAAAAGGAAAGAGCCTCACAGTAATCAAAGATCCTAGATCCTGGGTGAGAAGAGAGGATTACACATATTTGCCAACCTTGACTAATAGCCAAACAGGAGTCAAGACCAAAGGAGTGAAGGAAATTACCCAGCTTCATGGGGTGGGGGACTCTGGCTCCCGCCAAGTCAGTCCATGCCTGAGAACC